GTCATCTCATAGATGCACACTGGCACCATTTCATTTCACTCATTAATTGAGTGGGTTTCACTCTGATACTAAAGCTGATTTTACAGGGCAGAATAGATGTTTGGGGGATTTTTTTGTTGTTGTTGTTTTATTTTGTTATTACAGTGCCAATATCCTTCCCAGTGCCTGAGGAGCAGAAGTAAAAAGCACAGTTTTTAGAGAGCCTTTCCAGCGACTGCAGTTAGCCCTCCCGTTCTGTCACATTCTTGCAGAAGATGTTACGCTGTAAATTTCAAAGAGAATTGCACTCAAAAGGGTGAGCAAGCCACTGGTTTCAGTTTCTTAAATTATCTTTTGCCAGAGCTGTTATTGCAACATACAGGGAAGCTGAGCATTTTTCTTTGTGCAAATTTTTAGTTGAACACATTTCCTAACGCAGAACATGGCCTTTGAGGGGAGGCAGGGAGCATGGTTCCCCTTTATTACTATTAGAAATACTTTCCATCACTCAGACACAGAGAGCAGGAAAAAGCATTTTTAAAGAAGTGGCGCAGAGTTACGAAGGAAATGGAAATTATACATACAAAGGTTTATGAAGTAAGGAATTGTTTGCACTACAATGCCAGGGCCAGTAACTGATCTCAGTGCTGAGGTTAATTTTGCTTACAGGGAAGGAAAAAAAAAAAAAAAAAAAAGGAATATTCTTCCCTATTCCAGTCATCCTCTTCATTGTTTTGGTTATTGTTTTTCAATTGCCAATTCACTTGCCAAGACATACTCTACTGGGGGTACGTTTATAGTTATACTCCACCATACTGGTCTTGCCTGCTCTGATTGCTGCCAGCATCTTCAACCAGTACACTTCAAAGCATGCAGCAGGCTGATGGAAACGACTTCAGATATTATCTGGCTCTCTACAGCGTCCTTGGTGCCGTTTCATCCCTTCTCTTATCTCGCTGTGACTGCTCACCTAGGGCTATGACTCCTTTAGTTCAGTCTGGGATCTCGCTCCCTCATGCTGTTCTGGGTCTGGCTGCTCCCTTTGAGATGCAGCTGGCTTGTTTCTCCATTTTATTACAGCCGGTCGTTCCTTTCTGATTGTTGCTCCTCATGTTATTCTTGCTGCACTCTCTCCTCCTCTGTTGATGCAGCTCTCCAGGGCTATGATTCTTTTTTCGGGTGTGGAAAGGCTGTCACGCTTTTTGCTTTGATTTAACAATTCTCAGATCCACTCTTGTGTTCAACAGGCTATATTTCCTACCGCACTTGGGATATAACCACTTTTCCCGTCATCGTGGGAGGACACTATCTCACTTCCAGCTGCACGAGGAAGACATATCCACTCTTTGATGTAACTTGAGAGCCTTGAATCATCTACCAGTACTGTTTATTAATGAACTATCACGACTTCTCATTTTTCTCTACATATCTGTGGCCCTACTGGAGGATGACACGCTCCTATCTGAAGAATGACTAGTATGATGCTTTTGAAAGAAGCAAACATTACCCTCAACAGCTTAAGTGGAAAAACATTTTGTGCTGCAGGGCTGCAGTGCCTGTTCCTCTCTGTTTGTGGGACTACCTGAATACTATTCTTCAGGGGTTTATGTCATGAGATTTCTTAACATGTACAAGGACAAGAAAGTGGAATTGAAAAATATATTCAGCTCCAAGGCATTTGAAAAGCACAGTTTCAATGGTCATCTCTGAAGCATATAGAAAGAGGTATATCTTTAAAATGACAGCTGAGTGTCTGGCAGAGATGGGCACTTTAATGGTGTCTAATTGATTTATGCTATATCGATGACAGTAAAGACAATCAAATGTCAATGGCATTCTATGACTGTCATTTCACTGAACAAAAATTAGATGGGAGAGAGTTTCATCATTTCAATATTGTGCAGAAAATCACAAAGAGAGAAAAGAGATCACATGGACAATCCAAGGTCCCAGCAAGCACAAGGTGGACATTTAAAAAAAAATTAAAAGAGAGTAAAAAAAAAACCAGATCTGCTGAACTGTTTAAAAAGGAACATTTTATTTAAGACAGTAGAAAAGTCCTCACTGATGTTCCTGATCCAAAGTTTACTAGAGTCAACAGAATAAAATTCCAAGAACTTAATACTTGACAGCAATTTAAAAAATAAGTCAGCGAACAACCAAAAAGCCATCCGAGAAACATGAGCAACAACATCCCACCAGCAGGGCTCATCGTGTAAGGAAGGCTTTGAGGCACCTGAAAATATCTGAGCACATGCCTGAGCAGTTAAAAGCCTTCAGTATAATCTTACAGTTTGGATTTTATTGACATAGCATTCATCACAGTATTTATCCTGGCAGACACTAGAGAGCTAGAAGGATAAGCAAATGTTCTAGCTACCTAATAAGCTCATGCTTGTTTCCCTAGCTGATTTTAAGTGCAAGCTATGCATGCATGCATATGAGGTTGCATAGGAATGAAACAATGTAAGACCTACAACATGTTAAATTTGCTCTAATTTATCCTCAGAAGGAAACAGTGTCAGGTGTTTGGAGGAAGATGCAGAAAAAGTGAAAAGAGCAGCTAGGAAGTCAGCTGGGAAAGTTTCTTCCTACTAGATATTGTTTGTGTCTAAAACAAATGGATGAATGGTTACAGGGAATAGTAAACAGACAAATTATCAGACAGGAAAACAAAGATTTCATGGGTGAAAGAGTGGGTCTTTTAATCTCCTCGCCTAGGAAGGTGCGTAAGTAAATTCTTCCATTGCCATTCCTCAAGGTGGTTTGACAGATCTGTGTTCAGTTTTGGGCCCCTCGCTACAGGAAAGACGCTGTGTTGCTGGAACATGTCCAAAGGAGAGCAACAAAGCTGGTGAGGGGTCTGGAGCACAAGTCTTACAAGGAGCAGCTGAGGCAACTGGGGTTGTTTAGCCTGGAGAAGAGGAGGCTGAGGGGAGACCTTATCGCCCTCTACAACTGCCTGACAGGAGGCTGTAGCCAGGTGGGGGCGATAGGATGAGAGGAAATGGCCTCAAGTTGTGCCAGGGCAGGTTTAGGGTGGGCATTAGGAAAAATTTTTTCAATGAAAGGGTTGTCAAGCATTGGAAGGGGCTGCCTAGGGAAGTGGTCAAGTCCCCATCCCTGGAGGGATTTAAAAGACGGGCAGACGAGGTGCTTAGGGACATGGTTTAGTGGTGGGATGGCAGGGTTAGGTTAACGGTTGGACTTGATGATCTTAAAGGTCTTTTCCAACCTAAACGATTCTATGATCTGGTAACTGGATACAGAATTTATAGGGTCAGGCCCTGCTATGAACACATTCAGTACCACCTACGGTTCGGGAGAGTTGGCCGTCAGAGAGGCTGAGTGGAGACGCTGCCTTATGCACTGGGCATGGCCAAAGTTACACTGAAAAAGGAACCTTTAAATGGACAGATACAAGATAGAGGTTGTACTCTGATCTGCACAGAAAACAGAGTGATCCTATCAGCCTGCATAAAATAGCTAACAGTATACAGATGTGTCCTACCGTCCTATTTGTCATTTCAGTGTATATGAAAATTACTTAATGTTTGCAAAGTGTTTGTAAGATGAGAAGATAAGTGTCAAGTATTACAGTTTACTGTGTGATATTACTATTATCATATTAATTAGAAAAAATAATTAGCTTGAAGTATTAAGATACTGATGTGAGATAAGCCTCTGAACTTACTGAGGTTCAGCTATCACCAGCAAACATATGATTGAAACATTTAAACAATGAGAATACTTCAGCATGCTAAGAGCTGCTGGCTATTATAGCTTAATTGACCAAGAGTAATGTTTTCAAAGCCAGCTAAGGGATTTTTGAAAATGTTACTCAGGCTCTTGAGCAACTCCAGCATTTTAAAATATTTCCCTAGTATTTTGTGTTTGCATATTACATCCTATACCTGTTCGATAGACATAAACATACACACTCTCAACTGCCCCTCTTTAATGGCATAAGATCCTTTCATGGAAGAGGATCAAGTTGGAGTTATTGCTGTCTAGGAATAACTGATGACTATAAGAGAAGTTGCACCTCTTTTTTAGCCCAGTATGAGCACTGGATAAACTGGAGGCTCAGTAGGCAAGTCGGTGTTATGCTGCTGCTGTCTTGTTACAGTTTGATGTTAGGCAGCTAACGATGCAGAAGAAAAGATTATCAAATGCAAAGGCGATGGTCAAAAGGCTCTTGCAACTGAATCATCAGCAGTAAGCTCCAATACAGCCTTCCTGGCGGAAGCCTGCCGGCAGCAACCTCTGCATCACACAACAAGCACGTTTGGTCATGATGTTAAGGCACAGTATTACATATCATACCACGCAGCAGAGAATACTCGTGGTATGATGGAAACCACTGGGTTTTGGGCCATATGCTAACAGCAAGCCCAGTCATATGATGGAGAAGGTGGAAGTGAGCAGCCCTATCACTCCTGCACAGAAGCTGTTCAGTCCCAAAGCTGGCCAAAAGGCTTTCTATACATTGAAATACTATTTTAAATTGCCTGAATTTAATACATATTCCTTCACCACCTCAGAAGGCAGATCCTCCACTCTCACTGTTCAGCAATGACTTTGGAGTTTTCAGTAGCTGACAGAAAAATTCTCATGCATAGAAAAAACAGAAAAAACTTTACATTTAAATTTAGCACCTGACAAATTTTCTAGAGAGTTTCAATAGGACAAAGACTATACATCCTTCTGCTTTTTAAAGCATCTAAAACAATTCAGACATTGCCACAAAATAAATAGTAATAAACCCCCTCAAATCTTCTTGCTGAATTGTGACAGCCTCCCAAGATATAACATTTAATAACACTGGATGTGTTGAATGTAATTGGCTAAAATCACTGTAGTATATTCCAAATATATTCCACACAAATTAAAGTTTCCCAGCTAGTAGCCGCTGTAGCGTACATATTTTTACAATGGCATTTGTTTTACACATGGAACATGATCTTCTAATAGCTACTGACATATCTATATAGAGAGATAGAAAGTTTAATTAGTCTCACCTTTTTATAGGCAATCCAGTCAAACACCCTGTCAATGTCTGTGGCTTGCTGCACCTTCTGGGATACTGGATGTGAACTGGCCAAACCATCCAGCAACATCACTTCATGTAGGACATCTGTCAGAAATCTCTGCTTTTCCTGAAATACAGCATATGCAGTAGTATCACAGACAAATACACATTTACAACAGTACAGAAATGATGCACAGTTATCAGGGGCAGCTGGCTAATATGACAGTTCTATAATCCGACCTTCTGGTTTGAATGTGAGCCACCATGGCCTCCTACAGTCTGGAACAGGTATATGGAATAGACTCTGACTTGAGATGTTTTGCTGCAATGAAACTTGACTGAAAATAAATGAAAGACTATTAAATGAATCAAAAGGCATCTGTAGGTGAAGACCACAAATCTGATTACGACTATTCATTCACAGTAATGAGGGGTGGGAAGAGAGGCGAAATGGCGTACTCTTCAATCAAAAAAATATATGGATGCTACAAGTCGTCAAGCTCATTGCATACGCAGGTACGAAAAGTTTTGACAGGGATGGGTAAACAGAATTATTACTGCTTTATTTAGTGAAGTTTAAGTCACTTGGCTGTTAGTGCCAAGTTCATACAGCAGGTTGACGTGGGACAGGGCAATGAACAGAGCCCACAGCAGTGTCACAGCAGGTGCCTGCATTGGCGTTCATAATTCTGGTAAAGAAATCCTTTCTCCTCAAGCGCTTGCATGCTCTGCAAACTTTGTAACTTCCATCTGAAGAAAACCATTACTGTTTCTTTTTACAAGTGGGACAATAGCTGCTTGTAGAAGTTAAATGACATAGTCAAAGTCAGAGCTACATCAGAGGCGGGTGCAAACCCAAATAACATCCAACATACTGATTTGTTTCTATACCTTCTATAAATATGGATTGCAGAGGCATGTCAAAACTGCTGCGTATTTACTCTGGCAGAAATATTAATTAAATGTTCATGTATGCTCTATGAACTGTGCTGCGCTCACTTTTACAGTGCAACTAGGTGGGACTTTTCCAGCTGAGAAATGACATGCCTTAAAAACTCCTCATATTGCATTCATATGGATGTCTCTAATCCAAAAGACTGCATCGGGAAGGAAGAGCTTCATTTACTTGTTTTTTCCAGTCACAAATAAATGCAAACAGAGAATTAAAAATTATGGAAGGTTTAAAGAAGCTTTTTTCACCCTGAAATGACATCTCTTAAACTTTATCTAAATTACAACAATTCCTGAATTAATGGCAACCTAGTGACGTAATCTAAAGAAACTCTAGGGAAATTTTTTCAAATGCCACCTTGATATCCACAGATAAAATAACCACACAATTACATAATAAATTCTATGTTTAATTTCTTGGGTGGCAAGGTTTTGATATCAATGTGTTAACTTAAATTATATGTATAAGACAGTCGAAAAGCTCTTCCAGTGCTGATCCATCTGGAAATAAACCTTTATGTTAAAATTCATTAGAGCACAAGAAATGTACCTCGAGCTGATTGTATATTCAGGCAATTAAAAACACAGGATGCAGGAAAGCCAATTACCCAACACACTCTTAGTGTTCTCAGCTGGCTGCGTGAGGTAAGGTTTGTGACGGGAAAAGTAATGTCTCGTTCGTATTATTGTTCATTTCCAAATTTTCTCAGGCATACGCAGTTAGTAACTGCCCTTTCTTTAGGGGGGAAAAAAAAAAAAAGCCGCAGGGAAACAATTATTGTGATGGTGCTATTCAGGGGAACACTGCTGAGGTGTAAAGGTTTGTGGATGCTTTGGCTACACCTCACTCACATTCTCTATTCCCACTTCATCAGATGTCTGCTACGTAATACATGCAGGTATGAACACACAGGGGTATGGACATGTCTCCAAGTTCAAGTTTGGATATCGCAACTCACAAACAGTTGTGGGAGTGGACTGTTACTGTTTGGAATTAACTCGTTAAAAGGACCCTTGTTAATCACAATTAAATACAGAACCTGGAATCAAGAAAATCAGCACTTAGGAAACATAAAGTGAAGCTATAAGAAGAGGAAAACAGAAGATATTAAAAGGACAGGCTACATTTTGGGTTTCTGTTTGTTTCTTTGGTTATCTCCTGAAGGGCTGAAAAGGAGCATTTTAGATTCAAGCCCACTCATTCAAGTTACCATAGCTGAAGTCTTCCTTGAAATTTATGGCAGACTGTCACACTGGGATTACAAGTGGAATAGTTAGTACGCCTCCAAACATGTAAACCCGCATTTCAGTGAGAGTTAAGAAGGCTTTTGACCTATAAAGCTAAATGCATTGAACTAAAAGGATTTCCAAAACATTCCCCCTTTTCCCTTTAGTACGAAGCCTCTCAGAGCAGATTTCAAAAGGAGACCCCATATATATATATGGAAATATATACATATAACAAATATAACTCCAGGGAGACAGAGAGAGAGAGAAGTTTGCTGGTTGATAGGGGGCCTGCAGCTTGAAGAAGCCACAGGAAACAGAAACACAGAAAGAAACTAAAACTGCCCTAAATATGTTGAAGAAGCACCACCTCAGCTATTAAAGTCCTATCAGCACATTAAAGGCCAACACGTGTGACCAAACCGCTTATATTGATGGAAGAGGGGCTTTCTATTTCTTGGTTATTTTACCCTACACAGCACGGTGGAATTGATCTGTTTTAACATGATACCTACAGGACTAAAGAAACACCTAGCACAGAAATTGTGAAGAAAATCAATCTTGGAATGCGTGTAATGAGGCCAGCAAGCTGTCAACATGGTAGGTGACAGGTTTGCAGCTAGACATGAAACAATGACAAAATGTTGTTCAAGATGACCCTCCTCCGAGGGAGTTCAACTGCAAGAGAAAAGCCAAAGGCTGTGATATGCCTGTAAGGAAAAGAGGGCTTCAGGTGAGTCTTGAGGCTTTGCTTGGAAAGCGTCGGTAGCTGCATGTAAGTGCAGTGCTGTGCAGTGCTAACATAGGGCCAGGGCTCTGAGGAGGAGTTGGTATGACAGCAGCAGAAGCCTAGTCTGAAGGAAGGACAGAGGTGCTTCCACTCAAATTTGTGCCTTTCTTTAAAGGCAAGCAGGAAGCCCCTCTGCTCCTTATCTTTCTTACTGCCCACTTGGAGCCCCGTCTCATTATCTCCTCTCCTCAGAGCCTTCCTTGAATAGTCCTTGGATAGTCAAAGTCTGGGAGACCAGACCTGCGTTGAGAAGAAAAGACATGCCAATTATTTCTGGTTGCTTTCCCTCTTGCTCTTGAGAATGCTTCCAGGTGCAGGGACTGAAGTGTTGTTATCAGACAAACATGCTTTTCAAAGATTGACATATTCATATTATTTCCCAAACATCTCTGGTCACTAGATTCAAATATTTGTCTCTTCATAGGAATGACTTCTTTTAATCCTCACCAGTAAGACCTTCTCTGTTTGCTACAAGGTTGTCCTGACAGACTTATCCCTTCTCTGGGCTCCCCCATCCTTAGCCAACATTTAATTATTGTGAAAAATCACATTTCACTGCTTTGGGTAAAAGCAGCACAAATGCTACAGGTAACAGGGTCAGAAACTTTCCACCTATAGCAATTTTTCCACATTATGGAAATAATCTGGAGATTTTTTAATGTGGATCTGTAGTGTAAATTGTTCCATAGCAAAAAGAATGAGGAGTAAGAAACTGGCTAACCACGAGAAAGCTTTCTGGTTCTGGGTTATTTTCACCTTGTTCTAGGGAGGAAGGCTTATGGAAAGGTAGTGGTCAGTCTTTGTGTATTAATCTCCGACCGGATGCCCACCATTCAACTAGTCTACATCTAAATGGAAAGAAAGCAATTGTGAAATAACTTTTTTTTGACAGAAAAGACTGTACCTTCAAGAGCCATTAAAAATTTATTGTGCAAAACAGGATAACAGTGATGTAATGGGAAGGGGGTGCTGCTGGTGATTTCACAATATCATTTTGAGGCATAATGTAAGAGTACAAGGTAGCATAACAATAATGTAATACTTAAAGTTAGTGACATAAAAATGATCTCTAAAAATTAGTATGAAATACCAGGGAAAAGAATTAAAATGAAAAAACTGGAAAACATCCAACAGTGGAACAAAAGGAATAGCACAATGAAAGCCAAAACTGATAATTAGCACGCAGAAGAGATCAAAGGCCTCAATATTAAAGGCATCGCCTCTGTTCTGAGACAGCCATTCAAACAGTTTATGGACTGACAAATCCACATGAATAAAGCTTAATATTGGTGTGCAAATCTGCAAATTATTTTCCTGACAATTTTGCTGGAAATATCTTCTCTGAAATACAGAGCTTTACTAGCCATCAGGAATACAAAGGAGATAAGTGATCTCTCACGCCTGACAAAACAAGCATTCACAAGACACAATACTTGGGTTTGTAGGGGAAGTGCACCCTAGGGAAAAAGAAATAGGGGCAAATTTTGAAAGCAATCAGAGAACACTAGCATATACACTACCAGCAGTTCAGTTCTAATATACAATATATTTCAGGGTGAAGCTTAACAAACTACAGAGGAATATCATCTACGAGGAAACCTAAGGTTCAATAAAATACCTTAAGGCCAGAAAAGATCCACTGGAGGCCAAAAGCAAGTTCTTTCTGTCTACATGCTTATAAATCATAAGTTGTCACAGCACAGGAAGTCTCCTGAGTACTTGCAGATGAAAGCAGCATTTCTTTCTGTTTCTCTCTTCCCAACAGCATTTTTTTAAATAAAAAATGTATTTTGAGAAGCTTACAGATTGCTTTTTTTTTAATTTATATCTCTGCATGTGTGCTTCAGTTATGTGCCCAGTTTATTAAAGAAGGCCTGCAACACATTCTACATTTACCAGCTGTGAATATATCATGGTTCTGTGTCTACCTTCATAACCCTCTTTTCTACATTTTCAAAGTTCTTGCAAAATTTCTGTCCCTGTGCTTCAGAAATTTTCACACTGACTCACAATTTTTCTTGTTATAAAGCAATGTAGATGTTCTAGGATTTCGTAGTTAAGGAAGCCCAGTAGCTTTGTGTATCAGGAAAGAAAACTGGATATGTATTTTCTTTTCAATGAAGTGCCAAGCCAGATATTCATGACCACCTGCTTAAGTT